GCAAGTTGAAGCTGCTCTGCGCAAGTTGCTCTGCGCAAGATAATCCAAGGGCTCCGCACGGAAGAACTTTTCGGTTTCAGAAGCAACCACAAAGGCAGGCATGCGATGCAGTTGCAAACTGGCGTGCGCCTCCGAGTCGGGCAGGAAAAAGGCCTCCACGAACCTGCCACCGTGACGGGCCTCCACTCGGTCTGGAGCACGGTCGCAGTGGCGCCAACAGTGCTGCTGCAGTGCTGGGCCGGACTCAGCTTGGCCCAAGTGCATCCTCAGAAGCCCCTGTGGGAAGAAAAGGACACCCTTTGGTCGTTTTCCAAGGGACACCCTTCCCAACAAAAAGAACAAAAGGGTGCCACTGGGCAACTGGGCATCTCCCACACGTGGATTGTCCCGCTGGCACCATCCTCCGTATGACTCACCGCCAGGAGCAGCGATCGCTCCAACTTCACCTCCACCACCAGGACCACAGTGGAAATGCCAATCACGAACTCCCAGGTGCCGTCAATGCCTCTAAATATGCGAATTTCGCCATCTGTCTCCAAGGTGGCAACAATAGCGCCAGCATCTGCGTGAGAGATGTCGCAGCAAAGCAGCGGACAGCCTGATCGAAGGTAGCCTTGACCCACGCCGTCGGCAGTTGACCACAACGTCACTTGCCTGCCTTGCAGCATCAAGTCACGGAGCACTTGTCCAACAACCACAACAACAACAACAAAAACAGCGCGCCTTCTGCCTGATGGGCCAAGAAGATCCTCCCGTAATCCCACCGGGCTAGAATCTCTTGATCGCCACACCTGGCATGGCAGGACCGCTGCGTCCTCTCAATCCACGCAGGTGCCCCCGCACCCCTACCTGAGCGTCATGAAGTTCAGCCCCTAAGTGGCCTAGTGAGCAAACTAAGCAGACTGAGCAGACCTGACGAAAATTGCCGTTGCGCTCGCCTGGTGTCATCGTGTGGGCGGTCCGTGGGCACCACATGTGTGTAGACCTTTTGGAGTGAGCCCAGACGGAAGGCGTGGATGTCGCAGCCGGCGAAAAGGAAGAGCATCTCTGCAACCTGAGATGTTGCTTATTTCAGCATGTCATGTTCTAAAATGGATTGGACCCACCCTCCCCACGCGTGGTCGGCTTTCTGTGGGTCGCCTTCTTTAGCAGCACCTCAAAGTGAGACTGCGGGACTGATTTGAGGAAGATCTGCACCCGGAACCAATCGACCAAAACAAACGGGCGGCATGCTCCACAAAGAGGCGGAGCCCTTCCAACGCATCTCCAGAGACAAGACCAGAGCTAACACGGCAGCGACAAACAGCTCCATGGGGCTCCTGACCACGCCAAGCCGGCTGCTCTCTGGACATGTTTCACTTGCGCTACATCAGAATCCCACGAGAATGCTCTGGAGTCACTTGACTGCATTCTCTCCCTTGCTGCCCGGCCTGCCCACTGAAGCACCATCTCTCCAGTTCCAGGGATGGCGCAACCCCAATGACCTCCCCTGGGGAAATGGGAACCACCTGAGACAGGCTGATGCCCTAAAACGATCTAAACCATTAATCGCGGCACGAGGGGCATCAAGAAAATCTGCAGGCCTGCAAGCGTGGCTGCTGGCCGCAGCCAACCAATGAATGAAGAATCTGTAACTGTCCAAGAGGTCAAACTCAACGCCAACAGACTAGGGCAAGATGCTCGATCTCAAATTCACAGGCCACGGTGAGTTCTCAAGTTGTGGCGTTTCCTGCCTAAAAGACGGCGGATTGCTCGAGGTGGTACAAGTCAGTGGCAAAATTGAAACTTGCTCCTCGGATGTGGCCAAATTGGATTCAGGGCTCGGACGTTCAGGATTTCAATAGAATGACTTGTCAGTCACAAGGACCACCCACCGCCGCCCCCTGCACTTTGCAAGCGTCGTCGTCGCCCGAGAACATCACCGTGTGGCCACCCTGCAGGATGCCGCTTGTCGCCTGACATCTGTGGCAGCTCACCTATGGGGCATACAAATTCTTGTCAAACTGGAATTTGTAAATTGCAAAGCTGGCCTGGATATTTACAGATGGCGCGCCCATCCACTGCCCGCCCAGCTTGGACGGCTCACGGCTTTCTAGCTGTCGGTGAAATCCGCGCAGTCGTAGATACAAAGGCCGCCAGCCTGCAAGACAAGTAGGCACGCTGCAAGCCAGATCTGCAGAGGTAGCTGCGGACTCATGGCAAATTGCATGGTGCCTGACCTGAAGTTTGGGCTTCCAATCTGGCTTCATCCAGCTCCAGAAATCTCAGATACCTCGTGGGCAAAGTAGCACCACTGTTTCTCAAGGGCTGCAGGCCAGGCACTGGACACACACGGCGCCAAACTCGGCCTGCCCGGCCAAGAAGCCAAGCCAAACGTATCAGTGAAACGCCAAAGCGACCAGCGCCTCGCAGTGGTCAGCCCAGTTGAATGCCAACGCCGGCCCAGCCCAGTGCCGGCCAGCACAGCACATCGTGGCCATGGCCTGCCGACATACGGCTCGACGTGCCGCGATTCCATGGAAGGCCTCGGGTTCCAGCAGCGCAGCCAACAAGGAGCTGGCATCCTGCGAGTTCTGGCAGCATGGATTCGCAATCCACAGAAAGCTTTGGGAGACGCGAGTCCTGCAGTGCTCGCTCAGAGCGCGGGGTCGCCATTCGGATTCGCGCTGCATCCCCAGCGTCTTCCTCTTGTGTGCTCTTAAATGTCAGGGCCCAACCGCCTGTCAGCGTCAGTGCTGCAGATTGCAACATGGGGTCACTACATTCATGCTCGTGGCTTCCTTACAGCTCTTGCTTGAGCATCCTCGTATGGCAATGGCAACAAGCCAACTCATTGCATTGAGTGCCGGCGTGCGGCGCTCAGGCATGCTTAGGTTCTGACCATGTTCCAACCTGATAGGCATGGCACGCAGAAACGCTGCCCGCAACCTCAAGCCCCAAACCGAGGGCAGGTGCGTGAAGCCCGCCATGGGATCTTTTGTGCTGTCTGCCTGCTACCCAGCAAATGCGTATACGAATTGCCCAAGCACTCCAAGCACACATAAGCAACTGTATGCAAAAGCCTGTCAAAGCGCCTCGGCTCCCTTTGCAGGCCAATCTTCACACGGCATCACCCCTGCCCTGGTCACGCGGGGCACTTGGTAATCGCTGGGCTTGAACAGCTAGAGTCTGAGCAACCCGCTTTGCAAATACCGTGGCAGCTGTGACGTCCTCAGGTCACAAGCAGCGCTTCAACTTTGCAGTTGATTGCCTAGTCAAAAATGAGTTTCTTTGCAAATAAAAGGTTCCTCCTCCTGTTGGCGCCTACATCGTGCTCACACTAGTCACTAAGCAAGGTGGCCCCAAAGCAAACGGCTGCTGCGCGGGCCTCTACCTTCAGCGGCGCACATGCCAGCGGCAAGCTGACCTCTGACTGGCCAGCATGCTTCAGCAGCCCAAATAGACAGGAGCGCGAAAACGCTGCGCCAAAGGGCAGCCCCTTGGCTCAAAACTGTTCCAAACCAATGCGTCCAAGCGGCAGCTGTAGGTCTTGCGCCAAGACTTGCCGCCACACCTTGTGGTGAAGGCTTGCGCCTGTGCCAGCAAACTTGTTCGCCAGAATCAAACATCAGCATCCTGCCTAGATGGAATGAATGGCTGCGCAGAAGGGCGTTGGTGAAACGGTGCCTTTGCTTTCCAAGTTGCAACTCATGCTTGAGTGGATTCCCGCTTCAAACATCAATCATCACAACTGCCAAGGAGTGCCTGAGCCCTGCATCCGGGAGCAGTCTCCAGTGGAAAACCGCGCCAGTTTGGGTCAGACAGCCCCCACTCGCTCTCACAGAACACACGACACACACACACAAGCACACGCACACACAACACACACACACACACAACACACACACACACTGGGGAAGCTCTAGCTCGTAACTGGCTTGAGGGAACGTTCAAACATCAAACATCCAACAGCTGGGTTGCCCTGTTTGGACATGACGCCTCCTGGTTTAGAGGCCTTGGCTCAGCCTTATGCCATGTAGCGATTTAGCCTCATGGATTCCGATGGGCTAAAGCAAAGATATACGCAAGATGAATGGCCAGTCCTGGAAGCTGACTGCCGCACTGTGATGGCATTCTGAAATTGTTAGTTAGACCATAAAATGTTCAAATCAAAAATTCGACATACCGCGTGCGCCAATCGTGCCAAGATCTAGAAACTCAGAAATTTATAGATTTATGTGGGGTCTTTGGCTTAGCCTCATGCCGAGGTTTTTAGTTTAGCCTCATGCCATTCGACGAAACACTACCTTTAGAGGGCAAAGAAGGGACCGTTTAGTTGTGCCCTCGCAAGGGCCCAGGAGCGACTCGAGCAGGTACGCTTACACAAAAAATGCGACACGCACGCAGACACACCACACACACACATGAAACGCACAACATACACAACACGCAGACACAGAATGACACAGACAACAAAACACAACACCAACACAACACAACACAACACAGAACAACACAACACAACACAACATGACACGACACGACACGACACGACACAACACCCGCAAGCAAACGCACACGCACACGCACACGCACACGCACACGCACACGCACACGCACACGCCAAGCACACGCACACCCACACGCACACGCACACGCGCACGAGTGCACCCACACAACCACCCACACACCCACGCAAAGACACACACACACACAAACAAACAAACAAACAAACAAACAAACAAACACACACACACAAACACAAACACAAACACACACACACACACAAACAAACAAACAAACAAACAAACAATCAATCAATCAATCAATCAATCGATCAACACACACACACACACACACACACACACACACACACACACACACACACACGGCCACACACACACGCCCACCCACGCACGCACGCACGCACGGCCGCACGCACGCAAGCACGCACGCGCGCAACGCAGGCAGCCACACACACACACACGCAACCACCCACCCACGCACCCACGCACACACGCACGCACGCCCGCCTGTGCACGCCCGCTCGCCCGCCTGCGCACGCACGCACGCACGCACGCACGCACGCACGCACGCACGCACGCACGCACGCACGCACGCACGCACGCACGCACGCACGCACGCACGCATGCACCCACGGACACGCAAACGCAAACGCAAGCACGCAAACGCACATGCACAATATCCAACACTCAACACAATTTACAACAATACGCAAGGCGGCACAAACACGCAAATGCAGCTTGTGGTTTCAGACCAAGATGCTGCTTTGCCTTTCATGGCTCATTCGCAGAAAGCCGGCTGCTGCGCAGCAAATGGTTTTTTGGTTTCAAAATGTGTAATTCAACACGCTTGAATTTCTCCACCTCCGATGCTCAGCTCCCCCATATGATGGACGGCATGTGACGCATGATTTATGTGCTGAACTGAAGCTCTACCTGCTGCCGGCTGGGCATCTTAGACAACGCAATTGTCAGCTTTGAGAGAAGTGACAAGCCAAGCATGCTTCCTCCCCTTTCGCCCAATGCCCACCCTTCACCCCAGCTCCTTCCACCTTTCTGTGACACATGCCGTCTACCGGCAACTTACAAAAAGCAGGCGGCGCAGCTGCCGCCTGCTAAAAAAAAAGACTCAGTTGGCAGGGCCTTCCTTCAAATGTCAAGCATGCTATGAGGATGTTGGTGGACTGCTTGCACTAACCCACCTTGGGTATGTCTCAAAATAGGAGGACCCAAACACTGGTGGCTTTCCTTTTGGCGTCCCTTTAAACCAAACCCAAAGAGGGGACCAAGTACTGTAACAATGCACAGCCCCAGATTGGAACAAATAATGGAACCTGCCCTAACTTTTCTCACACGCCAGTGCACTTTGGCGCGTTGGCGCGTCTCGGCTTGCTCTCAATCCATCGCCTCACTCCGGCTCTCGATCCAAAACGAGCAGTCTTGCGCCTGCTTTATGGCCATGACACATTTTGCCTTCGTTATGGCCAGCAACCATTCACATCTGTCATGCCCTTCTGCTCATTTCATCCACATGGGCCCCATTTTAGAGACCCAGGCCAACATGAAACGGAAACGGGCCCAAAGAGGGTCACTGCCTGACCGTGCCCGCCGTGCCCCACCTCCGACAGCAAATCCTCGAGCTCCTCCACGCGGACCGCTGCAGCATCGGGGCCCTCCAACTGCATGACCTTCGAGCCCTCTTGGAAGAGCACCACCTGGCGACGCGCATGAGAGCACCACCCACCAAACTAAACTTTGTGCCTAAGTTGCCAATAGGATTGGTAGGGTGCAGCAAAAAGCCGGAAACTACTACTCCCTGCTTGGTTCATTCCCCAGGCTGCTTTTAGCCTTTTCGGAAGTTGAACATGTCCAACTATGCCCCTGACGGCCGGCAGATCACCCAGCTGGAGACTTTCCGCAACTCCTCAGGCCAGTAGCACTTGAACGTCCGAAGTGAAATCGTGGACATCGAACTATGCTAAAGCAAATGCTCACAATTCTCACGCACAAAACAACCACAGCAACTCCTGGAACTTTCGAGGCGTCCGTCATCGCGACTTGAACTCGCTGGCCTGCTTGACAAGCGTCGCTCAAGATCTGCCGCCCAACCCCTCCCTCACACACAAAAATTGGTTCGGCTTGAATCCCAACAGGAAAAGATGAGTCTATGATGTTAATCACCGAGAAGGAGTCTGCCAGACGCCAACCCACAGTTGCAAACCCGTGCTCCTTGCAAGAAAACCTGAGCAAGACTCGGATTTGTCCATGAGAATTGCTTTGCAAGCGGAGCGGAGCTTGATTTGGCTCTAGTCGATCCAGTGAGGTCCTTTTACAACCAACTCTCCCATGGAGACGAAAACAACCTGAGACTGCACCCGGGGTCGAGTCTGCAATCCTTCCATAAGGTCCAGGGCACCTTTTGCTCAGAACTGGACCGAAGGACCTCTCAGTGAACAGAGTTATGGGGAGTCCGGCACCTGCTCACATGATGCAGCCGACATGCCCCATTTGATTTCACAAGCCCTGTCTTCTTTGGGAGCCAGACAAATCGCATAAAGCAATGGTTTGGGCGGGCGGGCAGGCCTTTAGACTATGGTTGTTCACTGCCGCCGGCTGCTGCTGCCCATGCCTTTTCCTTACTTTTGCCTTTGCCTCTGCCTTTTGCCTCTGCTGCTTGCTGCCCCTGCTGACGTGTCGTCTGCTGCGGCCGCAGCTGTCCAAAACTCTCATAGTCTTGAAAATGGGATGGCCGAACAAAAGCTTTACTTGCTGATCCACGATTCCCCCATTAGAGGCAGCGAAAGGACAACACGCGCTTCAAGGTTTGGTACTTGCTACTTGCGGCCAAGTTGCCAAATTGGCGACAAAGTAGTTGCAGAGTAGCGTCTAGTGACGCCGAGCCCTGCTCCCACTTTCCTGGGTTGTGCATGAGGGGTGTGCGCGCAAGACTCGCGGCGAGCGGCGCTCTTGATTTCTGCCAACGCTAGTGAGATGAAGCTTCTACCTCAGCTGCCCATTCTTCTGCGAGTTCTCCCGCCTAAACACCAGAACTATGGCATGCAGCAGTCCAGCTGAATGTGCACCGCCGACAAAATGTGTCAGATCTCATAGCGGGCGAAGGGAGTTGTCCAAGGAAGCGATAAGACCCACCAGGCGCCGGAATCGTTTCAGGCGCCGTCTCTCGGCGGAGGGCAGCACTGCTGCGGAATCCGCGCTGGCCAGTGCCTCATCAAAGAAACGAAACTGGGCCGGATCTTGCCGCACAAAGTTCTCAGTCACCGAGACTGACGCCTCCAAATTCTCAACAAAATGCGGCCACCGAGGCGGAGCATACACGACGTCCCCGGCCCCCACGAAAAGCTCTTTGTACGGATGGCGCAGCAGGCTAGCATCATCCAGGTATGCGGGGAAGATGTGTTTCCGTGCTGCAGGATTGCTTAAGTCCTCGTGGAGGTCGTGCAATACGGAAGGCTCGAAGAACACAAACCTCTTTGACCCTTCCAAACAGGCGTTCCATGCAGCGCTCCCAGCTGGATCCACATGTAGCCTGGAGTAGCTCCCGGCAGGTCCGATGAACAGCCACCGGAAGTAAAACACAAACTCCAACAGCGAGGGCGACACGTGCCGCAGACACCTCCAGCGCATAAGAAAATCATCTGAGGCTTGGAAATGGCGAGGTCGTGCCAAATCATTGAGCAGTATGTCAAACGGAGGTTGGTGCAGAACCTGGCTCGACCAGTAAAGTATGTGGCTGGTGTCCAGCGGCTTGCGCATGTAGTCAACAAACTTACGAACCGTTGTAGATTCTGTCAAAGGACCGCTTGCGTCCAGCGATGCCAGGTGCATCGGAAGACGCTGAACCTGAGTGCATCAACCATTTGCACCACAACAAACGCTGGAAACTGCTCGCCCGATCCCCTTGCAAGTTGCCCTCCAAAGGGGACTTCTTTCGAATTCATGCGTTTGGGGTTCCATGCTAGTCGTCTATCACCTATGGCGCTGGCGCAATCCAAACTATGGCTGGCACAGTGATTTCGGTCTCTCCAAAGGCTTGCCGAATCCTGAGCACGCCCCCTTCTGCATTCTGACATCCAAGCAATGCAAGTATTGAAAGAGTAAGGAGTCAGGGGGGGTTGATCGCACATTCACCATCACCGGGGTCATGAACCTGTGGGGTGTGAGGCTTTTACATGCGCAACGACCCAAAGCTGGCTCTGCTTGCCAGAAGAGCCAGCGCTGCCCTCCCCCCTCTTTGGACGAGCCCGCTTCGCAGGTGTCGCCTGTGCCCCCGCCCAAAGATTGCGAAACAGGCATGTCAAAATGGCAGGCCTGAATTGAATCGCCAGCAAAACAAATGCAACAGGTCCAGCCCGGATAGGTGGGGCTTTCAGGAAAGACGTTAACAAATTGCAGGGGACACCCTAAACAAACACCAGCCAAACACAAAGGCTGCTACGCCGCTAAAGTGGAGCTCTGACCAGCCACAATCACGATCCCAATCCCTAACAACTCGAGGTCCAACGCTTGCATGGGAGGGCCAATGGACATTGTCAAAGGCGACACGACCAAGAATGCAGAAAGACTGTGTGCCATGAGTCCTATTCATGTCGGGGACCTCCAGCTCGGGGCACATTCACCAAGATACCCTCCCAAAGTGCTGACTTGCGACAACCCTGTCGCAGCTCGCTCTACCCTACAAACACGCGCGCAGAGCTTCAAAAAAAGGAAACCAGTTCAGGGGGAACAGTGACTGGTAGTGCACCAAATCATTGCAGGGTTCGAGGAGAGCGACAATGCCGGCATGGAGGGCGCCGCTGCTCGGAACACCTGTGGCACCGCCCAGTCCATCAATTTTGCCATGGCAACGTGGCGCGAAACTGAGAAAGAAAAAACAAAGAAGGAGCACGACTCGTTTGAGCCAAGCCTGCGGTGCACGACGCAGAGTTCACACCAGGCTGAAAAGCACGGACCCTGAGGGGATTTATTTGCTGAACCCCAGCAATCAAAACGTGAAAAGAAACTGCGCGACCCTGGTAGCAGCCCAGCGTCCGCCGCCCAGAACGCCAAGCACCAAGACATCCTCCACTTGCACCAAGAGCTCCAGCTCCTGCATCTTGCACTCGCGTTTCTTGTTTGGAAGGGCACTCGAAGCTCTCGCAGTAACCCGGTCCGCCATGGTGACTAGCTGCATGACACTTTCTTCTCCTGCTATATGTGCACTCAACTAGCGAGCCGGGCTTGGCACGAGAACAAGCCTCGTCACCCCTGCAAATTGATTATTAAGGGACAGCGCTCCAAAGTTCAGCTTGTCAACCTCGATATGTCACCCTGAGTGAGACATTCGGAGTTGTGACCTGCTAGCATCCATACCCTCATGCAAGCTGAAAGGAGGCGTCTGTTAAACAGATTTCCTTGTGTAAACAAAACAGTCTGGCTCTGTGCCAGTGAGCGGGAGGGTGTATCAGCCTCAATTCATAATGACGTATGCGTGCATGCCACCGCTTCGGAAATGAATATGCCACCCTCGCTTCCAAAATGAGAGCTTGTTTGCTGCTTCGGCCCATGCTACTCTTCGATGCAATTCTACTCCGCTCCCGGACCTGCCAGCTCCATGCCAAAGGCCGCCGCCGCTTCCTCCTCCAGCTGCGACAAGCCCACCGCACCCTCGAGCCGGGCCACCTCCGCACCTCAAACTTGAAAGCCAGCAAAGCACTTCTTCAACTAAAACGGCAACGGCAAACATCCACCAGGTGCTCCCGTATGTCCTGAAGCTTCTTCTTTCAGCTTGGCTAATGCAATTCGAGGCCCGCAAATCCACAGCTTGAGTCGCAGGGGCACCGCCTGCTGACCGCTGAGACCCCGGCCGCCCTTGAAGAAAATGACCGTCGGCAGACCCTCGACGCCTAGAGAGGTGGCCTGGTCAGAAAGAAAGCCACCCCAAAGCTAGCAGCCCGGACAGGGGTCCGGAGAAAACAGGTTCTTAAAAATTGAAACCATAAGTCAGGGTCTCTCTTATGCCTCGCTTCGCACGTTATGCGCTTTGGCTGCGCCTTCGCCGAGTGCTGGTCGCTGTCCATACGCAGCACCTGAGGCACTTGCAGCCCCTCCTCCTCAAACGCGCTGAGCTGCTCAGCCAACTTCTCGAGGGTTGGCTCCAACATCTTGCACGGCCCACACCTTGCGGATGGCAAACATCCCGGATGGCAAACATCCCGCATGGCAAGCAAACCTCAACGTCAAAAGATCCCTTTGCAAGAACGCCAGCGAAGCAGGCAAAACGGGCATCAAAATGAAGAAAAAAACACAAAAAGCAAAGTAGCAAAACATCAAAACAGGAGCAACAAGCGAACCCAAAACGTACGGAGTGATAAGCCTTGCCGCCATACCGCATACACGTCCAGCACCACTGGGCCGCTCCGAATGGCTGCCTCCAGCTCGGCGGGCCCCACCTCGGTCAGTTCCGCTCTGGTCGTCACCAGCTGCCGAGGCTGCGACTCAAGCTGGCCTCAGGCAAAGGTCCCATTTGGCAGAGACCGAGAAGGCTGTTAAAGCTTACAACAAGGGAAGGAAAAGGGCAGGGATGGAGTGGGCAACATGCGGCCTCCTCATGAATGATACAACCCAGGCTTCAAAAGGCGTCCACCAAAAACACCTAAAGACGGGTGGCCCGAAAGCATTAGCAGCGGCGGCAAGTTCTCCGAGCAAGTTTTCTGTGCAACTTGCTCTGAGCAAGTTGAGTTCCTCTGAGCAAGCGCTCCTGTTTTCTGCGCAATTTGCTCTGAGCAAGTTGTTAGGCTCGAGTTCCTCTATTCAAGTTCTCCAAGGAAGCTCTCAGCAAGTTGCTCTGACGCTAGTTCCTCCGAGCAAGTTCTCCAAGCAAGTTCTCTGTGCAAGTCGAAGTTGCTGGCGCGAATTCCTCTGAGCAAGTTCTCCAAGCAAGTTCTCTCAGCAAGTTGCGCTGAGCAAGTTGCTGGCGCGAGTTCCTCTGCGCAAGTTCTCGAAGGAAGCTCAGGAAGCGCTCAGCAAGTTGCTCTGGGCGGGCTGTCCGCTCGAGTTCCTCGGAGCAAGTTCTGCGAGCAAGTTCTCTCAGCAGGTTGCCGCGTACCACTTTCGTACTTAAAAGCTGCCATTCTCCAGCCGGAGCCGCGGAAGTGTACTTCGTGCTCAAAAGATAGTTGCGATTCTCGAGCCGGAGCTGCCGCGGACCAGAAGAGAATCGAACCCGCGACTGTGCGATTGCGAAAGCATCCCGTAAAAAAGCTGTCCGGCTTTGAACATCGACCACGCAGATCTCCACAGAGGGTCGCAGTCGTAAAAAGTCCTCAGTTTTTTAACATCGACCACGCGGATCTCTGCAGAGGGTCGCGCGCGCACAGCAGAAATCGTAAAACGTCCTGTGTTGACATCGACCACGCCGATCTCCGCAATAAGATGCAACCCCGAGCGATGACAGCAACCCACCCCGAAGAAGATTCTTATTGCCGAGCTCTTTCTATTTCTTTATTTATTTCTTTATTTATTTCTATATTTCTTTTTATCTTTCTTTCTTTCTTCTTTCTTTCTTTCTTTCTTTCTTTCTCTCTTTCATTTTTTCTTTCCTTCTTTCTTTCCTTCCTTCCTTCCTTCCTTCCTTCCTTCCTTCCTTCCCTCCCTCCCTCCCTCCCTCCCTCCCTTCCTTCCTTCCTTCCTTCCTTCCTTCCTTCCTTCCTTCCTTCCTTCCTTCCTTCCTTCCTTCCTTCCTTCCTTCCTTCCTTCCTTCCTTCCTTCCTTCCTTCCTTCCTTCCTTCCTTCCTTCCTTCCTTCCCTTCCTTCCTTCCTTCCCTTCCTTCCCTTCCTTCCTTCCTTCCTCTCACGCGCGCTAAGTGCTTCGCTATGAATCTCAAACTTAACTTACACAGCCGCTGATGCCGAGCCTCTTGCTTTATGCGCTTGGCTCTACGCGCTTGGCTCTACACACTTGGCTCTATGCACTTGGCTCTGTGCACCTGGCTCTATGCACTTGGCTCTATGCACTTGGCACCGTTCACTTGGCTGTGCGGTTGTCTCTGTGTACTTGGCTCTGTGTGGGCTCTATACACTTGGCTCTGTGCAAGTTTGCTCTGTACAACTTGGCTCTGACTCTGTGCAACTTAGCTCTGTGCAACTTGGCTCTGTGCCACTTGGCTCTGTGCAACTTAGCTCTGTGCAACTTTGCAACTCACTCTGTGTATGTGGGAAATGACCACTTCTGTGATACAACAAAAAGGGCCTCCCAAAGAACTACCCCCCATAAGACTACCCCCCCATATAAAGAGGGGAATGCCCTTGTATCAGGTGAAAAACCCCTTGATCCCACAACCCTGCTCTGTGTAGTTTAGTCCAAAGGCTCCGCACGGAAGAACCCGTCGCGATGCTTTCGGGGGAAAAAAAGTAGTCGAGTAGCCACCTTTCATCGGCTGAGTGAAGCCGAGCGGGCCTTTCACCGCCAAACAGAGGACGGTGAGAGCTGACGCCGCATACGCGGCGCGAAATCTGGCTCGGCATTGCGGTGGGCCGCCACCGCATGATGGCAAGCCCATCTCCGACAACTGACAGTTGTTGCTGGCTGCAGCTTCCGCTTTGATGAAACTGCCACCATGGAGACCCTCTGCCGCTTCTGACTTGTCCAGCTGCTTGATGTCGGCAAGCAATTGGATGCGTTGCTGCAAAAGGCTCGGAAGGAGTTCATACCGACTACGATTTCAACAAAGTAGATGCTTCCCGCTGTCTAAGTACTTCAACTCATGCATAGCGAAGCAACACCCGTGCACCCATTGGCTTCCACAAGCGGCAGGTCGGCATGCGGAATGCGCACGTCCCTGCAGGATGCCGTTGGAATGCACTAATTTTCACACACAAACGTCTCAAAGCTCGATCTCTGCACAGTTTGGACTGGCACCGTCCCATTCCACCGAGGAGACCTGCAAGCCCCACCAAGCTCCAGTGCGAGCTGGATGCGGTGAACCACGCAAATATGTTTCACTGACAGTGTTGCCGGTCCTTTGGGTGCGCTGCTAGCTTGTGGAACGCCTGCAGGGAGAGAGAGAGAGAGAGAGAGAGAGAGAGAGAGAGAGAGAGAGAGAGAGAGAGAGAGAGAGAGAGAGAGAGAGACACAGAATAAAAAACAATGTACAGATAACCACATGGAATGCACACCCCTCGCCTGGCAGGCATCACGTCTTTGGTCAGATGGATACTTAACTGACAGCACTTTCCTCAGCTGGGTGGCATGACCACTGAGCCGATCTCAGAGTGCAACCAAGGCACACTGATCGCATTTCGGACTTGGACATCGGCTCCGGGAGTGCTGCAAGCACATCTGCAAAGACTGCCTGTACTCAAATACAAAAAAGTCCATCTGCTTCGAGATCGGACGATCAAGACTATTCATCTGGATTGGCCCAACAGAAGCTATGCTCACGTGAGGCCATCTTCCAGAGGCCTAAGGCCTCGCCTCGCGCAGCACGGCCATGAGGGCAAAGGGGTTCGAAGGCGCAGTTGACACCCTGACAGGCACATGGGACAAAAAGGCTCCGACTGTTTGCATGCCCGGCCCTGGCTTCATGCAGACATGCCCGCAGCCATTTGAGCCTGAACTCGACAAACGGACCAAATTCAACTCGCAAGGCGTACTGAAAAAGCCGGGGTGCAGCACGAGTGTCCAGCCTTTCCAGCTGCTTCACCTGTCAGATTCCGGCAGACCGACATTTAGGGGCGAGCTGCGTCCACCCACTTGCTCCCCCCCCGCTCAGCACAGCGCAGTCAGAGTCATCGCTACACTCCTCCACGCATATTCCCACTGCGTGCTTCTCCAAGGCAGGACACCCTAGTTCCTGCAAGAAAGCCAAGCGACATAAGCCTCCAAAACCCCATGTCTCTTTGAAGAACCCCAATCCGAAGCTGCTTTGGAAGCACTGAGCGGCCAAAAGTATTAATCATGTTCATTCACTTGGTGGCCTGGTGTCAGAAGCAACATTCAATAAGGCGCCACATTGAACAACTCGTCGGAAGTGTCAGCACCCCATTCCTTCGCAGCCAACAACCGCAACAGCAAACATCCCAGCCATGGCTGGGCACGCATCTTGGAGATGGATTTCCCGACCGAATCTGTCAGGCGATTCGATTGGCGCCGTCCAACTGCGAGCCGATGAAACCAAGGGACCACAGAGTGCTGTGATGCCCTCTGCAAAAGGTTTGGTTGCTCACATTAACACAGCGTCAAAGGGTCAGCAACGCCAGCAACGCCGCATTTCTCCAATAAATGAGGTGAAACTGCAGTATCAGTATCGTGTTTCATTGTGGGCGGCTGCCATGTTGGCTCCTCAGCTGACTCCAACCATCTGCTCCCCAAGCTAGTCCTGCTCTAACCCCACTGTGCTACGGGCTTTGCATCCGACATGTGGCTGCTCGAAATCTAGGGATCCTCTTGCAGCCAGGTTGCCCTGCTGTCTGATTTTCTACTGCAGTTGCCTCCTTGGCAGCTGCCATGGCGCTGGCTGCACCAAACAGCCACGTGGGAACAGGTTGTTTATGTTGTTCAAATCGGCAGGCCTGTGTGTTGGAGCTTAAGGTCCAATACATTCTCAATAGGGGTGCCCTTTGTTACAAACAGAAAGCGCACACACACACACACACACACACACACACCGCTATCATTGAAGCAAGTCGCAGCTTGCCCAGTCCCGTTCCTCGGTCATTGGATGGTGGGTAAACCCCTTCGCGGAACTTAGCAAAAAAGGTTGTCGCGCTTGAAGCTTGCACGTTACCCAGATCTTTATAAAGCGAGGCAGCTGAGGCTCTGGACTTTCAACTTCTGCGCCAGCGCGTTTGTTGTGTCGGCATCATCTCAGGGTCAAGCCAGCACAGATTTCAAGAGCTGAGGAATCCTTGACATTCGAAATTCATTCGTCTCCAAACTTGTGTGGGGAGCACACAGGCACCAGGGGGAGTCAACTCTGCATGGCTGCACGACACCCCTTCCCCGTGTTGCTGATGCAACGTCATGGCTGCATTGCTGATTCAAGAGATCCTGGAATCGTGACAAACCCAGAGCCATGCAAGGTCTGAACCTGAGCTCGCCACCCATCAAGGCGTTCAAAGCCTTCTGGTTATCCTTCCTGAGGGCGATGCTTCGAGGGAAGAGCACACAGCTCACCTGCTGCGGATGTTTAACAATGTTTACGTTGCATGCAGGAAACAATCTATGTAACAAAAGCAAGCGCACGCAGCCAAGGCGCTGCACTATGTCCCAGACACTTTCCTTGGAGCAGTGCGAAATGAGCCATTTTCAGGTCTGGGCTTCTTCTCCCCGGCTATCCGGTGCTGCCCAACTTGATTTCATGAGACGGCCTCTTGCAAGAGCGGAAGGGTCAGCAAAATGCCACCACCAGCAAACAAACGAAAGCAAAGGGAAGTCATAAGTCATCAGTCATCAACATCAATATCGTTAAAGACGCTCCCAAGTGCAGAAATGACTCCAAGAGAAATGCACAGTTTTGCCGACGCATAACTCAGGATTCTGCTGCACATCCAAGCAACCACGTCTCCTATCTTGGCAATTTCCTTGGCGGCTTTCGCGTAATGCTTCACGAATTCCTCGCGGCAGAAAGCGGCTGCAAGCAAGGCAAGTTAAGGCCAATAACTCCTTCAGCTTCAGTCGTTGGGAAATCTATTTGTACCAAAGCACACACAAACCTTTATTGGCGCGAACACGCGCAAACACACAAGCAACAGTCCTTCTCAGCTTCAATGGAAGTCGCCCTGAGGGCGAAATGTCAAGATAGCGTTTGGCTTTGCCGACGCCAGCACCACAGACAAGCGACAATCCCTCCCTTGTTTTTTCCGCATATTTCTGCAGCTCTTCCACACAGTCACCTGGGACAAAAGACGGCTCAGCAAAGCATGTCTTCAAAACTTGCAGCTTGGACACGTATTATGGGAACTGTCACCTTTGCACAGCCAAATGCTGCTCACAACACGGAGAACGCTCAACCATTGCCAAACATGAAGCTACATTGACATGCACGTCAAAGCCTGCTGCCACAGAGTGTCACACATCTTACCCATCAAAATCTCACAAGCGAAGCCGTGCTGCGTTTTCATTCTTGTCCAGCGTATCTGCCTGCAGCAACGCCACGCTGAAGCAGCCAAGGCTTCGAGGGACACACCCAACCAAAGCAACTTGCCGGCCTGGCAAGCTTCTCTAATCTTCGCCGCCTCGTTGTAAGCGGAATCTGCTCCGTGTGATTCGTGTGATTCTGGTGGTTCCCGCCTCTGCCTGCATGCATCATGCTGCTTGCAACTCCGGCGAACCTTGCGACCATCACTGCTTGCCCAGCCTGCTCAGCTGCAAAATGCCAGCCGGAGCGCTTTCACTTTCATGCTGCGGTCGAGCTGCCCTCGGCAACGCAAACAATGCGCAGATGTTAGAACCGAGCATTGCAATTGCTTGGCAAGCTCCTGGCAATCGCTTTGATCTGAGCTGGGCACGGTGTCGTCTGAATACAGCACAACACCACGACAATGCTAAGCACATGATTCGCGGCGGACATGCGCTTGTCACTGCGCAGTTTTGCTGATTGGTTACTGAAATCTGATTGAGTACTTCCACAAATTGTGGTCGGCAACATGCACCGCACGATGTCGGGTGAAGCCCTCCGCAACACGAAAGTAAGGCCTGATATGCTTGATCAGCGCGGTCACACACACAGCCCACACATGAATTGGAACCAGATCACATGCAGGAGGGCGCGCTGGTCTCTAGCGAAGAATCTGCCCGCCCACACCGAACGCCCCACAACTGGAAGCTCAACCTGCGACCCCAGCCAAGGTGAAAGCCATCGATGCACGCCCCTGTCCATCTCGTTCGAGCAGGGACTCGTGAGAGATGGGGACGGTGGAGAGCCGGCTGCTGAAAGGGCACGCCTGGAGAACCACCTCGTTGCTTGCGGTCGGAAAACAGTGCGCGGAAAAAAAAATGGTGAAGGTGGCCGGCATCACATCCTCCAGAAGGATTGGTGCGACAAGGGTGATCTGTCCCTTTTGGCTTGGATGATGCTTCCGAGCGAAATGCGCGGGTGGCGCCACCAGGACGAACAGACGCCGTCGTCAGGAGCCGTCGCTGCGGTACCATTTCGCACTGAGGCATGGCTGCCAGGCGCATCATGGGCAGGGCCCGTCATGCCCGGAGGAATGCGCAGGCGTGGCGCGGCGCAGAGCACGAGCAAGAACCAGACAGACTCGAGACGGTGAAACGAAGAGGCAGGCCTGGGCTCAAGCGGGAAGGCGGCTCGGCGCCGGCCCGTTGGCCCACCTGGCATCGGCGAGCAAGTCGCTCACCGGCGGCTCCGCGCCGTCAACGCACGTCTCCCCGAACAGCGGGAGCTGCAGCAGGCTCGCGGCGAGCGTGCGCTGCGCGGCGACTGCCAGAAGGGCACTTGGCGCGCCGAGCAGGCGCACAAAAGCGGGAGCCACCGACCGCCAACCTTGAGACCGAGGACGAGCAGGCGGCAGCGCCGGCTCCGGAGGAGCTCAGTGCACTTGCGGCGGCGGATCTGGCGCAGGGCAAGGCCGGGTTTGCGGTCGGCCCTGGCCGCGGAGCACCGTCAGCTCTGACAGGGCTGACGACGGTGGTGTCAACCGCGACCTGCACGCCGCCCCAAATGAGCAAGGCGTTGGCCACAACCTCCAGGCGGCGGTCGTCCAGCACCGGCGCGTCGAGGTTGAGGTCGCGCAGGAGCACGTTCTCAGCAACGCGGGCTCCAGCTTCGCGGCAAATCCTGGCAGCGGTGCGCTCCAAGGGCACACTGCGCGGCCCTAACACTCCAGCGCGCGCACGCCGCACGATGGCCCTTCAAGGCATCCAGGGCGTATGTTTTTTCACGCGCATTTCTCAAAGACTCCTTCCCCCCAGGAAACCTGCTTAAGGGGCGTCCTGGGCACCAGGGCAAGCTGTTTTGTTTTCTTTTCCTCCTCGGAGGGGCCAGCGGCCTCACATGCTCACACACAAGCCGGCGAGGCTGCGTGCCTCACCTGACTCGGTTGACGAAAGAAAAATGTGGCTGCAAGCACAATGGTGCTTGAAGCCCGCACGGCAACAACGCCAGGCGCGCACACCCACTGCTGGCCGCAAACCCACGCGTTCCTGCACCACGTTCGTGAGCCCGATCGAGAGGGGACTGCCAACCCAAAGGCTGCAGTGCCAGAGAAAAGCTCTAGCCTGATCGAAATCCCCGGAGGCCTAATCCGCGTTTTAAAAGATGGTAAACCCCCTTATCCGTAATCCGCGCGGTTTATCGCCATTCCAAGTGGGCCTGACAAAATACTACTTCCAGGCATCCACGACTCCATCTTGGAAAAGTGATCCCACTGGGGCCCTTTCGCTGCCCTGATGTCATTTTCGGCTGCCGAGCTGTTCTAGTGAAACGCTCCTTAAAAAGCTGAAAAGCAGTTCCCTCACAATGTAGTTGGGCATCCTACACCAAAACGGTCCAACCCGTAAACCGCGCAATCCGTAATCCGCTAATCATTAGGGATTTGGTTTGGGACAGGTTAGCCAGGAGAGTGCTGGAGCAGGCGGCCTGAAAGGCGACTACCCGGAGCTGCTTGCAGCGCGGCGGTGCCTCGTCTTCGGCGTCGAGGCTGGCGGCAGGTGGAATGGCGCGGCGCGGAACGTGATGCCTCCATGGCTGCGCAGGTTTTCCACCCGTGGGTTCGGCATTATGCAAGTTTCCACGCGCACGGAAGGTGGAGCAGGGCTGACTGAAGACATCTTCCGCCTGGAAAGGCTGCCACCACCCACGTTCATGGAGGCGTGTCTCTCCCCCCCCACCTTGCTTATGGAGTGCTTCCGGGCACTGGAGGCTTCACAAGCTGTTTTTTAAGAGCTGTGCTTTGGCGAGCTGCAGCACAAAGTCCACGGCTTCGGCACTCCACCGCCCACACACTTCAAGGGCCAGCACCAGCGAGACTGAGGCGCAATCAGCTCGGGGTATGTGCGTTGTTTGTTTTTGTGTCTTGTTTTTTATGTTTTTTTTTTTTTTTTTGGTGGCGTGCAACACGCAACGCTGCTCCGGCGGCTTGTGCCGCGGGGCTGCTGTTGCCGTGAGCGGCCACACAAGTGTCGTGATCTGAATCTGGGCGACGGCCCATCAACCAAAGCAACGTGGTGACAACAGAAGGCACTGACGGGGGAAAAGGCGGGGCAGCGGGCCAGCCAGAACGGACACACAACGGGAGTTCGCACACATGCGCGCAGCGCAGTGAAGGTGGAGAGTGTGACCGCAAGATGGCCACACAAACGGGGCCTCGGGCCTTTCAGCCACAGCCAGCACGGCACAAATTGCACAAGGGGCACGCATCGCCGCATGTGAGGAGCCAATCGGGTGAAAGGAAAGAACTCACGGAAAGCACGAGCAATGAGTGTCGACAGGCGGCGCCCCGTCCGCGGCCATGAAGGCAGAATCCGGCATTGTCCAAGAAATGTTGCGGGTTTGCAGCCAACCAGCTTGTCCGCAAGCTGCGCTTGCTCTTTGCCAAGGCTAGGGCAGCCCCAGCCACACGACCCCACTGACACCGAGCGCGGCACCTACTTGGAGTTCCAGGGCACGGCGCGGCTCCGCCTCATTGTCGTCGCTGTCGAGGTCAGGGGGCGCTGGGGTGACAAGACCGAAGCGTTCCCAGTGCCTCGCGCGGGGCAAGGCCCTGGCCAGCCCCGAAGCACAACGCGGCAAGGCTGCCGCCACCTACGCGCGCCGGCGGCGACAGTTTCTAGCAGCAGTCGCAGCGCAAGTAAGTTCGCTTTCCACTGACGCCACTGTTGGGGCCACGCCGGTGGGCGACGTCTGGGCGCGCGAGGTGTCTGCAGCTGGCCGGACAAGGGCGTGCGTGAGGAAAAAAACTGTGGCCGCCTCACTGGGTCACGCAGCTTAACAGGCTGGCCGCTGCCACCTCCCCGGCTACAGGTGGGATTCCTAGGCGCACGCCGGAAAAGTTTCCATCGGGCAACAAACAATGCCTGATGGCCGCAGCGCGCACGATTCCATCTGCCTCAGGGAGGAGGCTGGTCACGAAGGCCCTTGCTGCCGCAAAGGAGGTCAATGCAAACCAGCGGGCGTGCACGCCCGCAGCTCCTCAGGCACGGAGCGGGCCCGAGCGCGGGCCAGGAAGCGGACAAACTAATGGGCCCAACGCTGAGACAAAGGTGGTGTCGACAGCAGCCCATTGGCGATCACCTTGATCCGCCTGTCATCGAAACCGTCAACGGGGACGTTGAGATCCCGGAGGAGGGTGGGTGGTGACGGTGTCCCCGGCAGATCCGGGCAGCGGAACCGGGGGCAAGCAGAACGGTTGTCACGTAGCACATCCAGACACGCAGGCGACGGAGAAGGGCAGGTAAGGACAGCAAGGAACACACGGGCTGCGAAGAGGCCAGCTTGCGACACCAACATGGCAGAAGACGCCATTTCATCCGATCTGTGGTCCTCAGCCGCACGGGCAGCATCCCGCTGCCAGCCGTCCTCGGAGGGGTCAAAGTCGAGGGTGAAGGCTGGGGGGCCCGCGCGCTGGCCCAAGGCAAGGGTGTGAGAGCCGAGGGCTGGCTGTCTGAAAAACAAGCGCCGAGGCGGACTCGGGCTCGGGCGCAGCAAGCTGGGGAAGGAAGGCGTGCAGAACGTCGCGCACGCGGGCTGCCAGCGCGGGAAAGCAATCTGCCCACGAAGCCCTTTAGGCGGCGTCAGCGTGGGGATCTGCACTGCGGAGCCCGAGGCCGCCGCGGCGGAAAGGGAGCTGGGCTCGGGCAGCGGCACGGAGGGGGGCGAGGCCGGCTGCTCGAACTGCAACAAACTGGCTTGAGCAGCAGCGGCTGCAGGTCGAAGCTGAATTGAACCACCGAAGCATCTGCGTGGCTCGATGGACATCATCCGGTTTTTCGTGCCAGCACGCTTGCGCCAGTGGTCAGGCGATCGTAGACGGACCGTCTTTCTTGCAGGCGCAACGCGCGCTGCTGCTCCGGCGCTGCCTCGGGCTCTGCCTGCGCCAAAGACCAGTCGTGCTCAGCCGCGAAGTTGTGGGGAAGCTCACAGGGCAGCACGCCGGAGCACATAATGGGCGCGAGCGGGCGCGGCGGCAAAAGCCACACCGCGGGCCAGGAAGGCTCGGGAGTTGGTCGGGCAGAGCAGCATGGGCCTCGCTGAGGGCGCCGCAGGGGGTCGCGCGGGCAAGTTGGAAAGCGACAAAAAACTTCAGTTTTTGGACATCGACCACCACGCAGAAGGTCGCGCGGGCAAGTCAGAAATCGTAAAGTCCTCAGTTTTTGGACGTCGACCTTGCAAATCCCCGCAGAGTCACGCGAGCAAGTCAGAAATCGCAAAAAGTCCTGTTATTGCACATCGACCACGCA